TGGCTGAAGATAAACAAAGGGGGCTCATGTTTTCAACACCCAACAAGTCCCCCATTTCTTAATGAGAGCTGCGGGATGCTGAGCACATTTGAAAAATGGTTTGTTTTTTCAGTCCAAACCCCGTTCTCCTTTCACAGGCAAGATTCACAATGAAGTCAAGTAGTCAACAAGCCCTTGGCTCAGGATTGGTCCTTAACAATCATGGACATGTTAAATCAATTTCATATATTGACTTTAGGGCTCCAGTTTCTAATACACATCAAGCACAGGACAGCAAGTTTCCTTAAAAATACATTTTATTTACAGCACCTCTGAATTTTCTTTACTTTGAAAATAATATAAATGTACATAACACATTAAGAAATCTCTTATTAACAGTTAATAAAATGACTGAAGTTTACAATTCAGGGATTTCAATGATCAAGGAAATTATATTATGGCACATTATTCAAATCATATACTGTATAAAGGCAGAAAATGCAAGTTTTTAAGCAACATAACTCCAACCTTGTAACAAAACCTTACAGTGAAGTCCTCATATAAGGCATCACAGTCCAAAATAAAGCATTTATCACTTGCAGGTGCATCCACCATACACGACACATAATTCAGACTGCATAGTAAGCAGGTTCTATAGAAATCTTCATAACATTTTGATAAACACTTCTGCATCTTGTTCCTTTCACATGTGAAAAATCAATGGTCAAACTCTTCCTTGAAGTAACCCCTGTGGAACCTTATTGATTTCATTTTATCCTCTCATGGTCACAAGACAGCCATTTAAAAAAAAAAAAAAAAGCTGGACTATTTGTGAAGAACTCAAATTATTCACAGCAGGGTGAAATTCATCCCTGTGCAGAGGGCCAGCACAAGGCTACCCCCAGCATCCACATGGTGGATGATCAGATGATAGCAGCCTAAAAAATAACAAAGACCACTGTTGCTTAGTCTTGTAGTTAGAACTATAGAAAACTCAAAGATAGGAAAAAAATAAGGCTGAACTCCAGGGAAAAAATGTTTGGAAGACACTGGAATGTTGAGAAAGGGAATGGTGTAATCAAATAGGAAAGGGCAGAAATACAAAAGATCCTGACAGCAGACAGAATTTAAAACGTTCAAAGATTAATTTGCAATGGTTTTGTATCTCATCTAGCAACAAAACACAAAGGAGGAGATGGCAAGAAAAGGTCAATCTGAATGAGTGAGGAGTGCAAAAGTTAAATCAGGGAATGAAAGAGGCACATGCAAGTTGTAAGACAGGTACAGGAGAAGAACTAGACAGTACAAAAAAAAAGGTTGTGTGTAAGGAAATGCAGACCATAAAGAATGAACTATCAAAGCCAAAGAGAATGAAAAATGGCTGCACAAGAGATCAAGTATCTGCCTAGAGAAAATAAAGAGCAAGAGATCAGATGAAAATTCAGTAACACAACGGAGACACTGCTAAGAATAAGTTAACTGAATTCCCTCTCTAACGCTTTACAAAGAAAAATGGGGGCAAGATGACAAACAAGTATAGAAAAATTTTTGGGAGAAAGAAAAAAAATACAAATATAATCAGTATGGCTGTGATCAGAAAGACAGAACACAGAAGACTGAACTTGAATTCACAGACTTTTGGGACAGATCCTCAGCTAGGAAATCTGAGCATAGTTCCGTTGAAGTCAATGGAGTTATACTAAGTTGAAGATCTGGCCCCAAAAGACTGATCTGCAAATCCAACGAATAAATATGGCACCAGGGTGAGCTGGGTAAGGGGATAAAGAACTAGCTTATCTATCAAATTCAGAGGGTGCTTATAAGTTGAAAGCAGTTCAGGAGGAAGGCGATGGATGACTAGTTAAATGTCATCCATATTTTAAACAGATTTCATTCACTATAGGCAACTATGACAAACTGAAAGGAGGAATGTTGAGAGAGGTTCTGAGGAGGCCAATCTGGTGTGGGAAGGGCTGAGCATAGCACCCAACATTAAGATGGGCCTGGAAGAACAGGCAGATAGGAGATTTAGGTAACCGAATGCAGAAAAATGTAATGGAATTAAAGAAACCAGAATGGAATGTATGCCAAAATGTGCTAAACTACAATCTATGACTCGGAACAAGGGTCTGTGGATAAGGATGAATAAAATACTGAAACAAAACAATGGGGTAAGCAAATTTCAAGAGAGTTAAGAGACACCATGGGAATTCAAGGGAAATCTCTTCACGTCAAATACTTAACGGGTAGAATGGAGTATATCAGAAAGAGGAGCAACACGAGCAACCAGTATAACTAGTTTTGTAATGGACTTTAGAAAAGTATGTTGAGGAAGAAAGTGTTGTGTAGCACAATCCTAAATAAAGGCAGAGACTTGATCCTACCAGGTTTCCTATCCTGTTACTATCCTGAAAGTGCTCTTCTTCCTTACAGAGAGAAGGCAAGGCCCATCTTCATAATTAAATGCTTTTAAGTAATGTAAACAGATTTAGTACAATGAAGCAAAGTCTGAAGCTATTTGATTTCTGTACCTGAAGATTTCTATAGTCCCTGCTATTTGCTTATCTATTCATAGGTCATAGATAAAGTATATTAATATTAACAGGTAAGCATACAAGTAGAAGAGAATTACTTCACTATACATTCAGGTTACAATACTTTAAAGAACCTGAGAAGTAGGTAACCACCACTTTATCAAACATTGGAGGAGGGGAAAGGGAAAGAAGATGGTCTATATAAGCAAACATCAAGGCATTACACACTTATTAGTTTTTTGTAATTCCAGAGTAATAAACAATACTGACAACCAATCTTTCAAACTTAATACAAAACATGGCAACCTGATTTAAGATGTATGTACCCAAGTGTGAAGGTGTGATTTTTTTTTTTTAAAGTTCCATCATACTAATACTTATGATTTTCAGGGAAAGATTTTGCCATTTCTTCTTTAATTCTCAAAAGGAAATATAAATAAATTAGGTACAAAGGAAACTACATTTAAATAGCACCATAGTTATATACCAACCCAACAGAAGCAAGGGCGGTCTTAAGCTCATGCCATATTCTTTTAAAAGGCAGAGCAGTATAAAAAGATGTTTCCTGACTTGTCATTTTGTGCAACACCCTTACAGCAGGACTCTGCGGTCCTTACACCCAAACCTCCAACTGATGTCAATGGGATGACTGGGTCAAAAAGACTGCAATAGCGACATACAATTTAATCTATATAATAAAAATAGATCTATTTACCCAAGAGATAAAACCTGCTTAAAGAGGATAAATACAGATCTTAAATGGGTATTACTTGCTATGTTGATTTCAATGGCTCCTTCAGAAAATGGAAGTTCTCAAGCAATGAGAAACCGGCTGTATGCTTTATTAAGTCTTGCCTTTAAGATTATTTTAAGAGGATGTAATTGGCTGTACTAACTATGGCTGTGCTACTTTCAAACCAGCCTAACCTATGGGTCCTGGAAATTTACCAGCCCAGGCGCAAAATCTCTTTGCCCATTCTCACAAGGTGATGCTGAATTATGGGGCACCAAATAAATAGGGAGTGTACCCTGGGTGAGTAAGATATTGAAAGGCTGTTTTTGACAATGAACACATTCTGAAGGTTCTGATTGTGAGCACTGGTAGAGCTGAGCTGCCTAACAAGGCGAGGTCAAGTGGCGTTCTCAGCCAGGGTAGGTAGGTTCTAGTGTTCCCTCTTGGAAAAGTAGACTCAGCCCAGGCCTAAGCCCAACCCTGGTACTAGGGTGAGGTGTCTTGTTTTTCCTCAAAGCACCTGAGAATGGATTCTAAAAACATAACTAGGAGGCTACATTTCCTAGTGGTAGTGGAATTTGTGCACATAACAATGTTTTGAAATATACCTCTGTGGGGGAGGGTGGGAAGCTTAAAACCTTTAAAATGAACCCAAAGAAGCTACCGTGATAAAATCAAGGCAATAAACTGCCATAGTTTTTAAAAAGTTCCCTTTAAGCACAAAAATTGTATATCAAATTTTAAGGAACTTTCTTAATAAACAAAAGGTTGAACTGTGTCTTACTGAAAAGAATGGAATTGCAGAATCAAAGCTATTCATGAATAGGTAACACTAGCTTATTTATTCATTATGAATGACAACTAAGATACGGTATGTTAAAAAAATCACAGTAATTCCCACCTAACTTGACACATTAGACCCAGTGTAGTTATTACAATTACTTTGGTCAGCAAAACAAATTGAGTTTTACAATCAAAATGGTGAACAAACAGAATTAATTGGATGAGTTTCTACATTTCCATTTACTAGAGTAGATACAATCCTCATACAAAATTAATTATCAAATGTTCCTGTGCTTTAATGTCGGCAAGTGTATTATTTACACTAAGCAGAAATAAATATACTACCATATAATAATAATATAATATACTATTATTAGAGAAGCAAGAAATCAGCTTCTGCTCCATCCCCTCAAAACAAGAGGCAGTCCAGAAAATAATAAAAGTCAAACATTCCTGTGTGTGTTTTCCAGCTATCAGACACTTTGATTTCATTCACAAGCTCACAGTTCAGAAGCACAAGAGTTACGGTTACAACTGAAAATTCCTGACTATGTAAACTGAGTTTAAGGATTAGTGAAAAACATATCTACTAAATTCCTTAATGATGATACAATAGTTCAATCCAGTAGAATCATCAATGCACTACAGGGCTTTCATTAAGCAGCCCATTTCAGTAAAAAGACCACAGTTTAATTCCCAGTGCCATTGGCCATAAACTGCGAGCATCAGTCTACACTGCAGTACACCTGCTACACTCTAAAAATAAAAATTCCCATCTAGTTAGCTCAAGAAATTAGTGTTAAATTGCATAATAACTATTTTAGGTGAATGCAAAAAAATTAAGATGATAATAATCCTTATTTCAGATAACAGGTTTTTACATATGTTTTGGTTTATAGCTACAACAGAGATGGCTTTTCCAATGCGCACTTCAGCTCCAGCCAATAGCCTCTGACTTTTTTGGCCATTAGGCTTTGTTCTATACAGAGATTATGAAGTGTAAAATTAACTGTTTTAAAAGTGTGTACTGTGTAGATATGATTTGTCATCTGATTTTTTACAATTGTCTGTATTTTTAATTACAGCCCCTGCCAATGTATGCTCAATAGGAATTTCAACACCATTTTTATTTAAACTATTGTCTATATGCAGTGTTGGGGAAAGGCCATTTTTCTCAAGATAACCATTATCATGAGTAAGTGCAACTTCCTGCTGAGGGCAACACAACTGAGAAGCACAAGCTTTTGAGATACAGGGTGAGCTGCATATTAGCTCAGAGGCCTTGTGGTCAATGTACTCCGGTTGGATGGTTACAGAATGGATCCCTGCTTCGTGGAAAACCTCCCGCATTTTATAAGAGGCATCTTGGTAATCAGAAGTGGTTTGGCACTTGACATGAAGGGTAGCAATATTCTTCCCACCTGCCAGTTCCCAGACATGCACCTCATGAAGACTGCTAACCCCTGGCACATCAGTTAGTCTTTCCGCTAGAAAACATAAGAGAAAATAATTTAAGAGGGTTGCTCGGGGGGGGGCCAATTGCAAGTTTCTGGTTATTATGAGGAACATATTAAAAGCCCCAGCCCTGAGGAAAGACACCTATCAATGCTCATCCACCTAAGATATAAGCATGTGACTTTTTAAAAGTAGTTCTATGTAACATAACACCTACACCCCCTGCAAACTTCACTTTCTCCTAGTCATCCAGGGTCTGAACTAAGTCGTTTAACTTGGGGACCAATCCTTTGGACATGCCTTTAACACTTATTGGCTTCAAACAAAGCTGAGGGCACTCAGCCCCTCATGGTAGGCACTCAGCACTTTGTAGGATCAACGCTAGACTGTAATCTCCTTGGGGCAGGGACCATATCTTCCCTGTTCTGCTCAACTCAGAGCCTGATGGAATTCACAAAAAAACAAAGTAATCTCTTCAGTAAGTGTGCATTTATAAAGTTACAAAGTTAACCAAAAATGCTACCGTTGATTAACATTTCTAAAGAGCTTTGAGATCCTTGGACAGAAGGCACTAGGAAGTACTATTATAATTCAGTGTTGTTCCACTAATAATGTTTTGTGTGGGTTGTTTGATAACAGCTCAAGGTCTGGTATTTTTATGTATTGTTGGAGTACCACATTCTCAAAATGCATGCTTTAACTAATCCACAGAGATTTGAGTCATGTTGCTAGGACACAAACATGTGACTCCATTTCTCACAGTTCTTGAGAATTTAGAGCTGCTATGAGTATATAATCCAAACATGTCATTCCAGAAATAACACTAGCACTAAAGTATGTCACTATAATTAATAAAAACTCAGTAACAAATTTGACTTACTCAGTCCTTGCATATTAACACCTTTGGGAACCATCTGCAGCAAAATGGTTGCGGTCTCTTTGATAAGTGGGAAGGCAGAGGACAAAATGATGACCACCATAACTAATGTCAGGCTTGGATCAATGTAACACTGCCAGTTACACGGAGTATTGGCATCCAGGGGAAGTGCATAGAATATTGCAGCAGCAACTACCACAACCACAGATCCAAGTGCATCTCCCATCACATGTAAAAGAACACCTGAAATAAATGACATAATACCATTTTGCATTAGCCTTAATTTGGAGCCGGGGGGGAATCCAAATAAACTGTTACAGACTTTTGAATTTATTTTGTTCAACATGAAACTAAAGCATTTAGGAAATCAGTACCATGATCAGATATAAAGCTTGCAAAAGTTGAGAATAAAACAACTGGGGTGGGTGGGATGAGCCTGAACAACTATATGGTTACATAAATTTGGTGGGTTATTAAACGTTTAGGCTACCCAACAGATCCATAGAAGTTAGCACTGAACAGCATGCCAACATACAATGTTTTTAATCAAACTGTTGGAACTTACTAAGAGCTGGGCACACCTATAAAGGGCAGTGATCAATTCGTATATCATGATTACGGATGATCAAATAACCAAGCTGATAAAAGAGGCATAGTCCACTTCTCTCCTAAGTAGATCAATTATTCTCTTTTGATAGCAGTTCTATGACTTTGCTGACTTCTGAAATAATAGCAGCAATATAGCTAAACACTCACTTTGGAGGGAGGGGGAAAGGTCTAAGTACACATGATACAGAGATGGGCCTGAACCAAAAGCACAAATCCAAACACTGGACAAGTTTGGATCCTGATCTGAGCTTCATAACTCAACTAGCTTTATATAGGCCAAATTAACACACACACCCCCAATTCATTTGCCCTCAGACTTTGAGAATAACTAAGTTTGGGTCCAAATTTTTCAGCTTGGTTTCATATCTTTTAGTGTAAGTATTTGTACTATTGCAAGTTCAGAAAACACTGCATACAGCTCTTCTTTCTTCTACGGGCACGGAAGGAAAAAAGCAATGAGAAAAGTGTATGCATTTTAAAAGATGTCTGTAATACCTCTCTAGGCCAGCCCTGGGCATTACATTGAGTAAGATAATGTGCTTGCTACACATTCACACTAATCTTAGAATCTTCTGTTTCCTTCTTGCAAGTTTAAATATCTTTTCCTGGATGTGCTTTCTAACAACCTCCCCCATCCAAACTTGCACATTAATGTAACCCATGTTAGACTGTAAAGCTCTACTTTTATAAGACTAACTTGCCATTACTTTTTATTTTTGGGTGGCGGGGGATAAGCGGAGTTGCTACCTCTGAAAACTTCCATTTACACACACTCTTAAAAGCTTCACTCCTACATAATCTCTCTCAACTAGGATGGCTGCATATAGCTCCCTCTTAAACCTATCAATGCTCAGCTGTGAGTTTTCACTTTGCAGTGATGTAAGACACTAAACTTCCTAAGGCTGAGAACACTGGCTTTGCTACTGCTCCTTGCCAGTTTGGGGCCCAAATGCTGATCCTCCACATGGGAAGGGAAGGCAATATTTCACTAGCCTGTCTTGAATCACTCATTAAGAACCAAGTACTCATTAAGTACTAACTTTCAGCTGAAATAAGTTTCTTCCTAGTAGGGTTAAGAGAACTCTCCCTTTTGGTTTTCCAGAGCAATCTGCTCCCTAGAGGTCACAAGGGTCCTGAGTGCAGTTTTAGCTGTAGTAATGGTGGAAGCCTCACTGCTTTCCATTTAAAATTTAATTGGACTTGAGTACTGCAGAGTTTACTTCTGCACTGACAAGAGGAATGGACAAGATGCAACTTCCCTATAATTCTAGGATGCTAACTGTGGATGTCTACACTAGAAAAATCGTAAAATGTCCCATCGTTGCTAATATTGATTCAGCTCCACTGGTATTAGCAATATTGGGAGCCCTAATGAGGATGGGCTGCTCAGTGCAGCTCATGTTTTCAGCACCAAGTAAATTAGATCTACTCTGAGCAGAGTTAGAAGATACAGTGCTTAAAATGCACACCTTAGTGTGCCAAATACACTGGCATGTAGTATTTTTAGGATATCACATCCACAAAGTTAAAGTAAGTGCCACTGTTTTAGCATATGGTGTGGTTTTGCAGAATACTTTTTTACATTAGTATAATAATGAAAACTTTGCAAATCTTTACCATATACTAAAAATAGACACTCACCTCACCTGACCACCGCCTTATATGGGATTCACTTGGCACTACCTGCATAATGGATTTGGGAACATCACACTGGTGCAAGAGATGGTGAACTGTGACCAAGAAAAATCTCAAAAAAATATTTGCTTAACATTTTGAATAGTGTTTTGATTAAATAAAATGCTAAGTATTATTGGTGGGGCTTTTTTGTTGTTTTTAAATAAAAAGTGTATTTAAAATCAGTTTGCCTCAAATTCATCCAGAGCATTTCAGGATATATACACATATCTAGTTAGTTATGTTTGTTTATTTTAAGGGCATGCAGGTTACCTTCAAGAATAGTTTAATTAGCATATTTCATTCTGCAGATATTCAGAGCTCTATGGAGTCCTTTCTAGTGTTGGGCAGAAAGAAGTATTTTGAGAAACAAATGTGAGGACTGGGCTGCTTGGAGGCAAGGTGGTCCGTAAGAGGGTCTCTGTCAGGAAACAGTCAACAGAACAACAGGGCTGCAGAACCACTATGCTGTTCTTCAGCACTCCTTACCCAACTGACTATGGGGCATCACTGATACCAGTCTTTAAGGAAACTGCTCCAGCAATTCAACTAAAAATACTGAAATACTATGGTAATGATGCTCAAGAAACAGACCGAAAAGAAGAGCATGGGGACTTCAATCAGTTAAAATTAGTGGAAGAGACTTTGAAGATAAAGCTGTTTAAAAGGGTGGAATCAAAAATAAAAATGTGAACACACACAAAGGGCCAGATCCTCAAACGCCCCATTGATTCATTGAAGTAATCATTGCCACTTCAAACCATTTGCGGACCTGGCCTAAGAATGTAAAAAAACCCAGAGTTGGTCAACAATTGTGAAAACTATCATCATTTTTATTTTCATTGGAATTCTGAAAACAAATCAAAATTGAAATTTGGACATTTTTGACCAGCTCTAGTTGAAAAGTCTTTTAAAAAAACAAAATACTGTACCTCTGATGTTCAAAGCTTCAGACTTTTTCTCTTTTTTCTGTACTGTCTGCTCTTCAGGCCTTTCCTGAGTGTTCAGGGAATCACCTGCATTCAAAGAAGAAACCCTGTGTTGTGTATAAATTCTACAAACAGAAAAAAAAAACACCAATCTTCTCAACACCAACTTATTTTAAAGAGAAACAAACATCAACTCAAGAAAAAGTCAGTCTCTGGCCAACATCTCTTTAATCAACGACCCTTTCCCCCGCCTATTTCAAACAATACAGTATAGGATACATACAAGCGTGAAATATGTAGTATGTTTGCATGGAGTTTGTTCACTCTGCAGTTACCATTAAAACAAACTTTGGAGGAGATACCACCACAAACAATAGACAAGAGGATGTTTCCTTTTATTTTAAGGTTGTCTCTCCCTCTGCCCCCCAAAGGAAGAGCCACAACCACTAACAAGGTCACTAGGATATCACAATAGCAGCAAAGCTATAGAAAAGGGGAACGTGAAATAACAGAGGAGGAAGGAGGGGATGATTGATAGATTCCAAGGCCAGAAGGGACCTCTGTGACTAGTCTGACCTGGCTAGGAAAGGCCATAGAACTCCCTGGAATAATTCCTAGAGCAAGGCTTTTAGAAAAGCATCCAGTCTTGATTTAAAGTTGAAAAGGGGAGAGGATGGGGGGGAAGTGGAGAGGAAGGGGGGCAGGATGGAGGGCCGGAATGGGGGCAAGAGAGAGACAGAAGGAGAAAGGGAAGGGCAGAATGGGAGAAGGGAAAGTAAAGGGAAGAAAGGAAGGAGGAGGGGAGGAGCGGGAGCAAGCTAGGATGCAACTGAAAGGCACCTGCTTCAACAGCCTCCTGACACTCCACCACGGCCGCCTCCTCCCGCCCGGCGCCGGGCACCGCCTGGAGCTGCTCTGGGGTGGCGGCGCGGGGCTGCAGGCGGCTGCAGCAGGAGCCCCAGTCCTGGAAGATGAGCAGCCCCACCACGTTGACGGCCAGGCCCAGCGCCCCCACGATGAGCACTAGCTCGGGGCCGTCGATGCGCTCGGGCCGGGCCAGGCGCAGCACCGCCTCCACCAGGATGGTGAAGCAGAGGGCGGTGAGGAAGACGGCGTTGCTCAGCGCCCCCACCGCCTCGGCGCGGCCGTAGCCGTAGGTGGCGCCGGGGCCCCGGCGGGCGCGGCGGGCGATGCGCCCGGTGGCGATGCCCACGCACAGCGAGATGAGGTCCGAGAGCATGTTGAACGAGTCCGACACCAGCGCGATGGAGTTGCCCAGGTAGCCGGAGACCAGCTCGGCCACGAAGAAGCCGGCGGTCAGCACCAGCATGAAGATCAGGCGGCAGGTCTTGCCCGAGTAGCGCCCCATCCCGGCAGCTGGCCCCGGACCGGCGGCGAACGCGGCCGGCTCGCCACAAGCGCCACTGAGCCAGCGCCGAGCCCCGCCGGCTGCAAGCCCCGCCCTGCCCCTGGCCGAGCCCCGCTTATATGCAGCGGCGCCGGGCAGCCCGCCCCCGCCGCGCCAAAGGGTGGCACTTGCCCGGCGGGACGGGACGGGGCGTTACCCGCTCCTTGGCCGCGGGGCTGGGCTGGAGGAGGCTCGTCCTCCTGCCGGCGCGGCGCTCATGGCCCTGGGGGAGGAAAGCGGCTTAGTGCTGCCTGTGAATGCTCTGTTCTGATAAAACCCTCGCCCTGAGCCATCGCCTGTTTCCAGACCCTGGTCGGGGGGTGAGGGTGAGAGATGCAGCTCACACCCTTTTATGACTAAGCTCATGCAGGTGCTTTCGCACGGGGCTGTGTTTGTAATGGAGGAGGTTGACAGGGTCTATGATGCAGAGATGTAGTAGATGGCACCCTAGCCTTTGGTTGAGTGAGGGCTCACAGCGCCAGCACGATGCTAGGGGTAAGTGCCTTTCCCAGACCTGCGGAAGAGCTGTGTGTGGCTCAAAAGCTTGTCTAACTCACCTTGTCTCTCCAGATCACAGCCGGGCAGCCCCAGGAAGGGCACATAAGGGGCCTTCTGAAGAGGCAGAGAGAGAGGCTTTAGCTGCTAGAGATGGTACAGAACTACTGAGATGTCCCTTACCCCCTGCCCGTACATGCCTAACTAGGGTACCACAGAGGAGAAATCCAGGACTGTTGATGGAGGAGGCTGCTTGGAGAGGGGGAGTTTTCCAGGCCTGTTTGGGGGAGGGACACTTTATGGGAAGGAATAGTTAGGAGAGCTCATCCAAAGAATAAGCAAATGAATAGCTGGCTGGTTAGCTGAACTGTCATAGGTTTGCCCATCACTAAACTCCAGAGGCAGGATCTCAGTGCTCACCTCAATCCAGAAATAGGAGAGTGCTTGCTCTTCCCTCAGACACACCCACCCATCTTTTTTGGTTTAAAATAAGGTACGCAGGGAATGCCAGTCTATAACAGAAAAGTCTTGAATGCATAAAGCCCTCCCTCCTCACATCCGCAAAGGACTGAGTGCATTGAGGAAATACACCCTCTGCTGGATGTTTAGGGTACTCATCTAATTAAGCAAAACAGAATTGGAAGGATTATGTTAGCCCAATTATGCTTGCTGCCAGAATCTTCTTAAAAGCCACATGATGAAATAGAAATAAGCAATTGTTATTAGATAGCCCCTTTACAGAAATAAAACTTATCGATTGTGACCTCTTGATTTCACCCACTACAAAGCTGTTTCTAGGGTGGGGGTGCAAGAGTAATTAAAATGACACAAGTAGCCTGAACAAGATGAAGTAAAATCTGGGCCAAATCTTTTAACAGGAGCACAAAAGCACACCACACATTTGAAAATGCAGGCCCTCAAAGTGACAGGGGAATTTGGGCAGGCAGAATATAGCTATTTGAGGTAGAATCTGTCCAGGACACTGAGGTAAACATCCTTATTGGATTTTTAGTGCAAAATTGTCACCCATCTAAAAGATAGCACTTCCAGTAACACAGTGGCCCCTTGGTACCATACTGGGGCACCGAATCCTCCTTGAATCAAAGGATAGAGTGCCAGCTACTGAATCTACAAATCATACTCTGCCAACTTCTTCCAATGAAGAACAGCATATCGAGAAAGTACATACACGTGCATGAATCTAGTCATAAACCTAGAGAGAGAGAGAACTGCGTGTATTTATGTCACATCTAGAGTGACCTGTGTCATGTAAATACAAAAACTAAATAAGTAAACTTCCATGCCATGTTTCCAGTATTGTTCCTATTCTCTTTTTTTTTTCGTGATAAATCCTAAGAAGAATTGTGTGCATGTGTGTAAGCGGGGAAAGGAGAGAATGTGTCTGTTAATAACACCCTTGACTGATCACATAGTCCTCAAAAATTCAAAAAGAGATGCAGTAAATTAAGCCGTTTTCAAACAACACTCTACTAGGTTCTTAGAAGAAGTATTAATGACA